TTAGGGGTTTAGGGTTTAGGGTTTAGGGTTTAGGGGCTTAGGGGTTTAGGCTTTAGGGGCTTAGGGGTTTAGGGTTTAGGGTTAAGGGTTTAGGGCTTAGGGCTTAGGGTTTGGGGTTTAGGGCTTAGGGTAAACCCCAAGTCGTACACCCTCGAAGCCGGAAACATCCGAAAGCCTTAAGCCCACTTTAGGCCCGAAGCCCTACAAGCCCCCAAAGACTCCAAAACCTTCACTCTAAATCCACAACTCTATAAACCCTAATCAGCCTTCAACCAAACTCTAAACCCTAAACCCTTCACCCTAAAACCTCAACTCTATAAACCCTAAGCAGCCCTAAACCTAAACCTTAAACCCTAAACCCTTCACCCTAAAACCTCAACTCTATAAACCCTAAGCAGCCCTAAACTTAAATCCTAAGCCTGAGTCGAACCTGAAAGGCACGGGAAGCCCCTACACCTCAAGGCTTGAGCAAAGGAAGCATGAGCTTAGGGTTTAGGGTTTGGGGTTTAGGGTTTAGGGTTTAGTATTTGGGGTTTAGGGTTTGGGGTTTGGGGTTTGGGGCTTAGGGTTTAGGCCCTAAACCCAAGGACCAGTCACAAACCCCAAACCCCAAACCCTAAAAGCCCAAACCGCTCAAACCCAAGCCCTAAACCCTAAACCCTAAACCCGTAAACCCTAACCCTTAAACCCTCCCCCTTAAGGACCCCAAACCCTATGCCAAGGCACCGTGGCCGCATGAAGCTCTCCGGTACCACAGTTGGGTGGATTGTGGCAGCCACGATTCACGATGCCAGAGGCCCCGTTGATGAAGGATCGATCGCCCTTCTGCATGCCATTATCCACCCACCTCAGTCCCGAGACGCCAACTCCGAATCTAAACCGTAAGCATTGAGCAGCTGTAGAAACTTTGATTTAGGGCCGGCAAAGAATCATCGCGGAAAAGATTCGAGGTTGCAAAAGGCTACTCCCACTTATCGTATGAACCTAGAAAAAATGCCTTCCGCACGCAATGTTGCTTTTACCGCCGTGTACAGACTTTCTTACTGCCAGTACGGGATCCCCTAAACCCTAAACCCCTAAACCCTAAACCCTAAAACAGGGAGTTTCAGGGAGCTTGGCGCTTCAACCTAAACCCTAAACCCTAAACCCCTAAACCCTAAACCCTAAACCCTCAATGTCCATAGTGTCCTTACATCGTGAGGACGAGAGACTTCTTCAGCTCCGCGATGTAATCCCAGCCGCCGGAGCTGTAAGGCTGCACGGCGTTCAGCCTTCGCTGCTTTGGGTTTAGGGCTTAGGGTTTAGGGGTTTAGGGGTTAGGGTTTAAGGGTTAGGGTTTAGGGTTTAGGGCTTAGGGTTTAGGGGTCTAGGGACCCCACTTGTTGGCAACTGCAGCTAGAGATGTGGTATACTAGTTATCCAGGCCTGTATGCTTTTATGTCCAGTATCATAGGGGAACTAAAGATTAACCTTTCACGCTATGTACTATGTAAGGATTATAGTACCGCGAAAAAAGTCAAATGTCGCAACCCTACTCCTAAGGTATTATGGGGGGTTAATAATGCTAAAGACTAGAATAGGTGTTTGGAGGGGGGTGTCTATATATATATATATATATTTTTTTTTCTTCTATAACCAGAATCAGGAACGAAATGGTATAGGTAAGGCTGGCTAATGCCTTAATCACGATATGAACCCTAAAAGGGTAAAGGTTCACATGCCATAGAGGGATTCATAGCATAAACGTACAGATTGGTTTAGGGGCCGTCAACGCATCGATTGCGGGTTGTCGAAGAGTGTAAGGTGACCCCAAGTCAGATACGGGCCTGGGGACTTAAAGGTTTAGGGGGGATAAGGGTTTGGGGGTTTAGGGGTTTATGGTTTAGGGTCTCGATTCTAGATAGCCCAACTTCCCGAACTAGGTTCCCGAGTGACCCCTTGAATCAGTAGGGTACCAAGTTTCCTTATATTCGGTTTTTTCTACGGGGACCATACAATGAAAAGGGCGACGGGGTACCATTCAGCAACCTAGATAACACACTACGTCTTAGGAGGGAACTATATCAATCACACGTGGCAAGTATGGTCAACAACTGAGATACCTTCATTGACCAATTTCCTTATATTGGTTTTGATAAGGAAACCATACAGTGAAACGGCAAAAGGGTACTACACAGCAACCTAGCTAACAGAATACGCCTGAGAAGCCAACTATATCAATCGCACATGGCAAGTATGGTCAGCCGCAGAGATACCTCCATTGCACTACAGATCCTTGATATCTAGTTGTAATGTGTAGACCAGTCTGCAAGCATGTGCCCTTCGCCGAGGGAAGCCCGGTGAACCGGTAAATGGGCATGTTTCAGCCTAGAGCTGCGACTCAGTTGACTAATGTAGGGGCCATATAATAATTACCTATACTAGGTTGGGGGTTCCTTACTATATTTGTAGTATAGTTTATCCCAAAACCCTATTCTAATTATTAAGGCCGCTACATTACAGAACCTGTGGCGCTTCGACACCTCAAGACCCGATTGACCTGGTGCTCCCGTTGTCTCTCGGGATTCAGGGTTTCTTGTGGCAAGTGAAGGTGAATCTGTTTGATATAGGGGCCTGAATAAGTAGAATAGGGTTTTGGGGCATATTATACTCTATTTAGAATAAGGAACCCCCCAAAATAATGTAGGCAATTATTAAGGCTCCTATATTAATATCACCGCAGCCTGCCCAAGAAACTGGAACGTCAAGAAGTCATGCGCCAACCACGAAGCCCTAAGGCCTAAACTACTGGCAAATCGAGGCTTCCCTGAAGCCCAGCGAGCGCAGTGCCCCCTAAACCCTAAACCTTAAACCCTAAACGGTCTAGGGTTTAGGGTTTAGGGAAGTTTAGGGTGCCGAGGGGCCAGTAGAACATGCCAGCCACCCACTTCAGCTCCGGTGGGCCTTAGACTTCCCAAAACCTAACTCGTTCAGGCTCGGGTTTAGGGCTTAGGGCTTAGGGTTTAGGGTTTAGGGTTTAGGGTTTGACTAAGTTTAGGGTGTCGACAGCAACCAAAATGGTAGTAGCGATGGCCATAACTAAGACAGGATGCATGCAAGAAATACAACTACAACTATCATGAGACTGATAACAGGTAGCAGCAACGGTAGAAGCTCTCAAACATGGCGTGCTTCTAAGGTTGAACCCATGGGCCCCTAACATGGGCCCTTAAAGGATTCTAGGGTCCCTTAAGGTTATATATAGGGTATATAGTGGGTATATTAGGGTCCCAGGGTTAAGGGCCCATAATAGGGGCCCATGGGTTCTACCTTAGAGTGCTGCTACTGCGGCTTCTACTGGGCTTACTCTCACAAGAACAGCTCGGAAACAAGAAGCACCTGCTGCCGAAATCTTAATACGAGCATCTGAACACATGAAGCTCCAGCGGTATTCAGAGGATTTACGATGGTATTCCGTGTACTTCGAGAGCATGTACTTTCGAAACGAGCACCTGCCAAAACTGCGGTTGCTGTTCACGACACCGCAGCAGAATCGTGCGCCAATATGTCATGTAAGCTTTACGATTAAGTCACACCCTTGCACCCATGCATATCCCAAAACGAATCCCCAGTAGATCCTAACACCCAGAACCCTACGAGCCAAACCCCAAAGCCTTAGAGCCCAAAGCCCTAAGTTCATCCATCAAAGGTCGAAGGCTAAACACTAAACCCTAGATCCTGGGAGCCTCGTATACCCACTATATACCCTATATATATATATATATACCCTTAAGGGACCCTAGAATCCTTTAAGGGCCCATGTTAGGGGCCCATGGGTTCAACCTTAGATTTAGAGGAATCCTGAGCCAGGAAACTGCCGGGATCGCAAATCGAGTTCCTGGGCTGCAAGTGGCAGAAGACTTTAAAGTCCAGGGTTTGATTAGGATTTGTTATATAGTCTAAAAAATATACTGATATAAAAGACTATATACACCAATCAAGATATATATATATATATATGTATATATATATATATATATATATATTTACGGAAAATAACCAGAGAATGACACACTGCATTTAAGATCTAAGGCTTCACTCTTGTGGGGTGTATGGCTTTCGGGTTTATAGGCCCTGAAGCCATAAACCCATCTACGCCCCTAATAAGCCTAAACTCTAAACTTTACACTGGGTGCATGGAGGTATCCTGTGAATTCCTCCGGCGACTCTTGTAGTCTGAGTGCAAAGTGTAATCAGGGTTTAGAGCATCCAGGGATTCGGGGATTAGGGCTTTAGGCCCAGCTTTCGACTGTCAGGGCTTAGGATTCAACGCGTATGCCGCCGTCTCGCCACTGCAGCAAACAACAGACACGAGGATAGGGTTTTCGGGCTTGCTTATGGCGAAGAAGGGCATTAGCACCCTAAACCCTAAACCCTAAACCCTGGCTAAGAAAAACCGAAGCAAAGAAACTTCTTTCCAAGAGTTGGCAGAGCTATCCTAAACCCCGAACCCCTAAACCCCTGAACCCTAAACCCTAAACCCTAAACCTCGAAGCGCAAAATCCCTAAACCATAGACCCTGCACCATCAAGACTGCTGAATGCTACTGGAGCAGCTTCGAGAGCTGTGTATGCTATCATATGGGTAGTTGTCAAAATTATGGTCCCTTTTGGGGTACCCTAAATAGTAGGGGCCGTATTATAATAAGGACCCCAAAAGGGACCATGATTNNACCCTAAACCCTAACCCCTAAATTCTTTCCAAGAGTTGGCAGAGCTTCGGGTTCTTGCAAAAGTCGATCTGCGGATAGATGGAGGATCTTCCCTCGTCTGAGGCCCTCTTGCCCATGAAGAAGTTCAGCCTCAACGTCGTCTTTAAGGGTTTAGGGTTTAGGGTTTAGGGTCTAGGGTCTAGGGTTTAGGGTTTAGGGTTTAGGGGTTTAGGGACTATAACTGCCTATCTATATATATATATATAAACTTATTTATCTATCTATGTTGAAACAGAGGGATGAGGACTTAGGACTTCAGCTAGACCCGCCCCTAAGCAATACTCCGAACATTACTGAGCACTGAGACCGCACAAAAAAACACAAATGCATCAGCACATGGTGCCGCACTCAATCGCTCTGAGTCAACGACACAAACCCAAAGTTTCAGGGAGCCGGCTACATGACTGTCCTTTTGTAAGTCCAAATGTTACTTCACAGGCCTTAGTAATTAGAACAGGGCTTTGGGGGTATCTTATACCATAACTGTAGCAAGGAACCCAAAGATACCTTTCAAGCAACCACCGGCCACTCCAGGCCGCCACCATCTCACTACAGTCATCATCACCACCTTTCGATGTTTCCCCTAAACCCTAAACCCCTAAACCCTAAACCCCTAAACCCCTAAACCCCTAAACCCTAAACTCCTAAACCCCTAAACCCCTAAATCCCTAAACCCTAAACCCCTAAACCCAACTCAAGCAACCAAGCCATGCGAGCCGGTGCCGACTGCCGGCAAAGAAGACAGACAGGCAGTTCAACGAGACGGCTCCCAGAGACTCTAATGTCCCGTAATTAAGGGTTTAGGGTTTAGGGTTTAGGGTTTAGGGTTGCGGTGCAACGAGACGGTTCCCAGAGACTCCAATGTCTCTTAATGAAGGGAATACGCCTTAAATTATAGTAGGATCCCTATCCCTTAATTAAGGAATATGCCTTAAACTATAGTAGGATCCCTATCCCTTACTTAAGGAATATGCCTTAAATTATAGTAGGATCCCTCAAGTGATTTAAGGTGTCTTCCTTGATTAAGGGATATTGGAGTCTCTGGGTTCCGAGCTGAGAACCCCACTTGCCGAAGTTGCAGGTTCCCGTTGTTTGGATAACGCCTGCACTTGGAGGGGGGTAGAGGAAGGGGGCTTGATAAACTTGAATCGGGTTTTGGGGCACATGATAGTATATGCTGATGATAAGGAACGCCCGAAATGAGCATTGATAATTCCTCGTCGCTTGCCTTATCCCTATAGCCCTATAGGGGTCCAAGTACCTAATAATCATATGCTCTCCCGAATATTAACCTAGTCCGCAATCAAAGTACCCTATTATTGGGTCCTTTAGAACCCTGAACCCTAAACCCTGAACCTTAAACCCTAAACCCTATACCCCAGATCCTAAACCCACCCCTATTCTTGGGTCCTTTGGGCCCTTAGGGTAGTCTTTTCCTTCTACGCCTGGGCCTTGCAGCACGGGGTTCGGAGCTGACGATGAGAGTCTCCGGTGTTCAGGCTACGGTACCCGGTTTAGGGTTTATGGTTAAGGGTTAAGGGTTTAGGGTTAAGGGTTAAGGGTTAAGGGTTAAGGGTTTAGGGTTTAGGGTTTAGGGCTTAGGGTTTAGGGCTTAGGGTTTAGGGCTTAGGGTTTCTACATGCTGGCTCTCTTTTGGGGCCCTTGCCCTCAAAGGACTCATATTTTAAGGCCCTTTGGGCCCATATTATATAATGCTTTTGGGCTATTGTGATGCTAAGGGCTTAGGATCCTAAATGTTCCAACCAAAATTCGAAAAGGAACTAATCAAGACTCCCGGTACTCTTCTCCGAAAGCCTGATCGAGACTCTTTCGCCCAAGGCTTCGAGAAGCAATGGCCAATAAGCCTATAAGTTACTGTAGTGCTCCATAATACAGGCTTAAAAGTTGTAGTACCACGATCCCCAGTGGCCTAGAAATAAAGGGGACTCCCTTTTTGGTTTTGGGCGCTTGCATAAGGAAGCTAAGCCCACAAAAAGGTGGAAAGGGCCGGCCCACTGGAGACTTAGCTTATCGTCAGGCTCTAAGGCTCTAGGGTTTTCGGGATGCAGGATTTCAAGACTTAGGTCATGCGGAAGCGATCGTCGGGTTCGACATTCTGAACCAAAAGGTGGTGCTCGTGCTATTGCTTGGCTAATTTGGTTTCTGCCCTTTGGGGAGAGGAGGGGTAGGAGGGGGAGGAGGGGTATGAGGGGTATGCTACTTAGTACCACGGGGATTCCTACTCATGCTACTGCTGCTTCGACTGGTAGTTCTCTGGTCCGTCGCTGCCTCGGCCCCACCAACAGCAGCCCTCCAAGTCCTGCAAATGCAAACATGGTGGCTCAGCCTGTGGCACATAACTCACATGACATAGCGCTCTCTCGCACATAGCATGAAAGGCGGAATGGTCATCACCAGAGAAAACTGAAGACAAGAACCGGAACGAACACACCACAAGACCAAAGCACATGTCATCGTAGCATCACCAGTGATAGCAGCAGCTGCACCCATGGACCAGCAGAGTCACTGCAAAGGCCGAAGACGAAGTACAATAAGTAGCAGGAAAAAGCAGAAGCTTTGCCGACGTTGTTGTCGTTGCCACAGTGTTGTTCACATAGGTGCTACCATCATCAGCAGCGACCACCATCATCCACATCACCACCATCAACAGTGCAGAAGACAATTATCTTGCCGTCGATCTGCCGGAAGGGCGACAGCAGTGCAAGACCGTGTTCCAAAAGCCCAAAAACGATTTAATCAAGTCCTCGGGCTTGCCGAAGTCCCCCTGAAGCCAGATCACGGAATCTACAACTGGCAACCAAGATCCTCACGGCCCTCCGGTTGCCCAAACAAGGGCGCATCTGGATTTGGGCAAGCGCCATCGACCTGAACGCAGTTCCAAGGCACACACGTCAGACCTTCTTCGAAAACTACTCCATCCAGCTGCCTACCCTAAACCATAAACCCTAAACCCAAAACCCTAAACCCTAAACCCTAAACCATGACGCTTTCGATCAAATATCCCAGGTCCATCCTACCCTGAATCAGAACCCGAACCCTGCCCGTTCTTCCGCAAACCTTACACCGTTGAAAGCCCTTAGCCTTTCTACTAAACCCTAAATCCCAAATCCTAAATTCAGATCCCCTTCCACCCTAAACCCAACCTATCATAATAGGGAACCCTAAGCAGGTAGGTTGTTTCATTATGGTGCAGGTCAGCCCCAAATCCTAAATGCTTCCAGCCCGAAGCTCCTCAAGCTCCAGGAGGCTTTTGGGTGTAGGGTTAGGTTTTAGGTTTTAGGATTTTCCGATCTTCCAGGCGACTCAAGCGCGAACGAATAGCTTCTCTGTGTTTATGGTTTACGATAAGGGTCCGCATATACTACTATTATGGACCTAATTCCATAAGCCTCTGGGTAATTCTGTAAATCACAGTCCCCTTGGGGGTCCTTTTTAGAAGGGTACCTCACTATTGTGGGGACCCCTAGCAGGGAGCCTAATTCAGAGAACTACCAATATAGTATCTATGTACGTTCTGGTTTACGGTTTTTCGGGGTTGACGGATTCCTGACGTTTCGCGACTCTTTTCCCAGAGCTCAGACACAGAGACCAGTGAACGTGCTGCAGGGTTTAGGGTGGGCCCCTGGGATTTGGGCCTAGACTTCTGGCATCGGAGAAGCTGAACTTAATGTAGGGGCCTTAAGAAGTAGAATAGGGTTTTGGGGGTATTTTAAATTGTACTTATAATATGGGTTTCTACTATACTTAGAATAAGGAACCTCCAGAAGTAGTATTGATTGTTATTTAGGCCCCTATGCTACCCAGACGGTCCATGTACCCAAATAGTATACACATTCGCCCCAAAGTTATACGGACTACTTTAAGGCCAATGTATGTCTATTTGGGCACATGGACCTTTAGAGTTAAACCTCAACCCTCCGCTGAATCCCATATCCCACCGACACAGCCGAGCCACGCAGCCCTCACCTGTGAACTTCCATCCTCCTTGAAGTTGAGGTCCAGGGTTTAGGGCTTCTGGTTTTGGGGTTTTGGGGTTTTGGGGTTTAGGGTTTAGAGCTTCTGGTTTAGGGCTTAGGGGTATAGGGGCTTAGGGTTTAGAGCTTCTGGTTTAGGGTTTAGGGGTTTAGGGGTTTAGGGGTTAAGGGGTTTGGGTTTAGGGCTTCTGGTTTAGGGTTTAGGGGTTTAGGGGTTTAGGGGTTTAGGGGTTAGGGTTTAGGGTTTAGGGCTTCTGGTTTAGGGTTTAGAGGTTTAGGGGTTCAGGGGTTCAGGTGTTTAGGGTTCAGTGCATCTTCTCATACTTGGTATGGATGCTTCGACGTGCGAGTTCTTTCCCGAGTCTATTCATGTCCGGACTCTGGCGGTCAGCTTCCTCTTCTCGGGGACAGAGTGATGATAAGAAGCAAAAACGCCGAGACCGAGTATTGAAGGTCGTCGTCACAGGCATTCGGATAAATTCGTGTCATGCTCGAGCTTGCACGCTCATAGTCAGTTGTTATAGTTGTCGGTCTTGCCCACTTCTAGGCGTACTTCTGCCCTCCTTGTGAATATGAAACGACAGGCAAGATTGAATTTTCATAGTTGAGTCGTGTCCGAATGTGCTCCCGGGCGCCCAACCAGAAACCCCCAAGTACCCCTTATTTAAGCTTTTATGGTCCTGAACAATGGTTATGTCGGTTAAAATGGTGGGTGTTTGGAGGCCTAACAGTCTAAGAACACCAGTGGTGGGTTCCTCTAAAATTAGGGTTCCTTTCCAGGTCCCCAATGGCCCAAAATAGCACGGCACAGGTGTAACAATACTCCAAAACCTAAACCCTAAACCCTCAACCCTAAACCCTAAACCCCTTTAAAAGGATCCTAAATGCGAGAACGGCCCCAGTCCTGTCTTGATGCCCTGGTAGTCCTTGCAGCTGCCACCTCACGGTTTAGGGTTTAGGGTTTAGGGTTTAGGGTTTAGGACATCACAGCAAAAACCGCTCAGCAGATCCCGGAGTAGCTCGAAACTACACGTTTCAGGAGTTCAAGTTAAAGGGTTTCGGGCTGAGGGTTTAGAAATTATAGGGCTTGAGGATTTAAAGTTATAGGGTTTCGGGCTTAGGGTTTAGAAGTTATAGGGTTTCGGGGTTCATAAGATACCATTCAGAGGCACGTCCAGACTACTCCATGTCGGCCCTATAGGGATTGCTAGCATCGGAAGCGTAGCCATGACGCCTGTTGAACTGTCCCTAAGGGTCCATGTACCCAAATACATATACTCTGGCCTTAAAGTAGTCCCTATATCCTTAAAGTAGTCCCTATATAAGTACTTTGGGGCCAATGAATATACTATTTGGGTACATGGACCCTCAGGGAATACCTATAGTCTCAATTGTAGTTCCTTTTTTTGGTCTAACCAATTGTATATTTAGGATCCTAAAAATTACCCCAAAAAAGGAACTACAATGGAGACTACAGGTAAGACACAATGCACAAACATTACGAAAACAGGTCTAGGCATGGCGAAGGGATTCATGCGAGGTAACCGCGATGGCAAAACAAGTCAGTGCAGCCAGAAGTGGAATGTCGAATATGCATACATATCCATATGCGTATAGATGTAGAGGCTAGCGCCGAACAGAAAACCACATTCCTGTAGGGGTTGTCACAATGATGTGCTGGCAGCTGCCCGTAGCATATCCGCACATTCCCACTTGAGCATCTTGCGCTTCGTGGAAATCATGAGTCTCCATGGCAACCACAATCAGAGGCTGAACAGTCACCAATATGTCCTGCGGACCACAGGAGAAAGTACTGCCTGCTTTCCACTAGCTTCGCTGTACAATACATCTTGCGGTGTATGCAAATTCTGCTCAACGCTGGTCTCCCACCTCCATTGACGTAGTCAAAATACTCGTCCAGGGGCACATCGTCAGCAAAGGGGGGGACATGGCCCCATCCATCTGCGCACGGGCGTTGTAAGGTCGGGTATATAGTAATCATGTATACATACGAATATGTGTTTTTTGATTGGTAGATTGTGCTATTTGATTTTATAGTTATTTTTACTCAGTGAGGCTAGAACATGCCAGAAGGCGCAGAGAACAGCAAGTCCGAGGCGTGATCAGCTGCTCACGGTATCTCCCCAAAGCTCACTGGCCTTCTGGCGCGCACCATGGTGCGCTGTAGTCCCACCTTGAGCTATCAGCTGGCTTTCTATCCTGCTCCAGGACGTAGCCTGACATTAACTAGTTCATGTTTGGGGTAGTATTAAAAACTTAAATTTCTATTCCTTATTGGGTTTAAGTACCCTTAAAAATGTCAAATGTTACCCAACTATGACAAAGTTAAGTGTGAACTTCTTCTCATAACAGTCCCTGTCTGCACTGCTTACGAGACTGTCTAAAATACACAAAATAGAGGAGCATAGAATGCAAACCATTCCAGGATACAGGCACCAAGCACGAGTAGCACATAAGGAAAATATCTAGTGCACCAGATCCTGATGGCAACAGAGTGCACAACCACCCCCCATCGACATCATCATGATCATGATCATGATCATGATCATCANNTCATCATCATCATCATCATTCTCATCCTCCTCGTCGTCGTGTCACATATCGCAATCACGGCAACCACCCCTGTCATCACCTTAGGGGTAACCGTCATCATCGGAAACAACAAGAACATCGTGGTCATCGTAACCTCGTTGTCGTCACAAGCACAATGGCAGTTGCCAGCATCATTTGCTTGAAAGGCTCTGATAAACCATCAGGTATAGCTTAATCTGCCCGTACACATGTACATGTGCATGCATGCCTGCATGGATGGATGGCTGTTTGTTCTCTTACACGTACGTACGTCGGACGTTGTATGTACATGTGCATGTGTGTACGCAGGAATGCAAGCAGGCACGGCTAGGTAGGTAGGTAGGTAGGTA